CTCGCCTCTTGTAGGCGGCTGTGTCTTTCTTCTGAGCCTGGAGAACTGTGGCCAGAAGAGCTGGACTCGGACTCGTCCTCCGACGAGTCCGAAGAGGACGACTCCTCCCCTCTCCCAGAGGGGCCCGCCTCCTCTCCCTTAGAAGGAGCAGGAGGAAAATTAGACATGTCAACGGTAAGATGGGAAGGGACCACCTTGGCCCCTCTCTCAGAACTGTCGGCTTGGCAGCCGCCTCGTTTCAATTCTACATCTGGCGCCTGGTCAGATGTTTCACTAATGAGCACCCTTTGGGAGGAGCCGTCTGAGTTTGATATCATATCAGTCTGTTTTGTTCTGGCCATCACGTTCTGCATAGACACAGATACAGTCGGACTTTGTATAAAGGGCAAAGATGGGTCCAGAAAAGGGCAGGCGGCACTCCTAGTCCTAGATTCAGCCGTCCCCGGTGACCGGCTGATCACTAACTTAGGTCGTGTCGTGTGCTTCCGTGGTGCCATTTCAAAAAATAAAAAGAAAATTAAGAGTAAGAGAACTGAGTTACCTGAACGAGTGACGGTTGATGAAGTTCTGGAAGTCCGGTGCAGTCGGCTTGTCAGAACAGGCGGTACGGAAGTCAGCAATTCCTTATATAGGCAAAGTGAGAAGGCGAAAGGTCGCTTCCAAATTCAAAATTTGGGCGGGAAAATCTCTCGGCCGTTTGCAAGGTGACACCTGTAGCAGGCCGTCGCCTGTCACTGTGCGACACCTGTCACAGGCGACACGTGACCAGTCACGTGCCACCTGTGAGGGGCAAATGATTAGGGGATTTTTATCCACCAATCACCGTCTGACAAGTGGACCAACCAGGTTCCGCCACGTGTCCTTCACGAAGGCCAATAGGAGCCTGCCACGTGTCAATCACAGATACGTCCTCTACGGACCAATTGAGACACGCCACGTGTCCACCCATGCCAAATGGGAAAACCGGCCAACAAGGCCCAATCCTGTCTAGAGGCTCGGTCAGCCCTAGGTTTACCCTAAACCTAGAGAGTGGCACGCTTCTCAAGGCTATAAATACTTAATTAATCCTCATTAATTAAGCGGTCAAGAGATCAAGAAATCAAGAAATCAAGAGAAGAACAGAAACATTACGGAACACTAATAACCGGCTAATCTCGCTAACGACGCAGATTACCAACATTAAACACTCTCACCTAGAGAGATCTTATTACTTTAATTTCCGTATTAATTACTCCTTAATCAGGTACTAACTTGACCGTTGGAGGCGGAGCTCTCAGGAGTCTCCGTTATTTTGCAGGTACAGGCGTCCGGTTCCAGTCTCGGAATTGTAACTCTCCCGCAGGACATCAGAAAACCCCGAAACATTTGGCGCCGTCTGTGGGGAGAGTACTTCAGAGATGGCATCCAAGTCTGTACCGACTCCTGAAGAGAGGCGTCCCCTAGACGACCCTCAAGTTCAGTCGGACCATGATACCGAAAGTGAATTTTAAGTGGAAACTCATACAGCTCCAGACGGGACCCTAAGGGCCCGACGTACCCGTCATACCGAAAGGAGGGAACGGGGGCATCTTCAAACAGGAAGCGAGCCAGCAGGCGCACCGCCTGCTCGGCAAAAGCCGACTGATGGGTCTGCTCAACCTGGATGGACCATATCACATAAGTCGACGAGATTGCTAATATATGTAGGGTTAATTTACATAGCTTTTCGAACTAGTGGTTTTGTTTAGTTGCTGCTGTTCAAAAAAAAAAAATAAAGAAAAGAAAAGGAAAAAAAGAAAAAAATAAACTTCATTTTTTTCCCTTGAATTTGCAAGTTATAGAATGCATAAAGATTTTTAAAAAAAATATTAAGGGATGTGACATGTGGCATATGGGGTAATGAGTAACTTGCGATGACATGTGTCATGTGAAAACTATGTGGCTTGTGTTTTTAAATACTAAGTATAAATGACTTATTGATATTTCTTCACTCACATCTCTCAATGAAATTTTCTGTGAACAACCCGTGCATTGCACGGGCTTCAAGGCTTATTATATATTGAAAAGCGTTCCAAAAATAGTTTATGTACCTCGTCATTTCCTCCTAACAAGCATTGTGTCATGTTATCACTTTACAACACGTCATCACAACTTAACAAAACATTCCTACTATTATTGAAAGATTAATATAAAAAAGTATCATGGGTTTCAAACACTAAACCTAAGAGAAACAAGACCAAACTCCTTATCATCTTAGCCAATTATAAATCATGTCATCTTTATAAATAAATACAAATATAAATTGTTTATTTATTTTATTTTATTATTATTTTTTTTACAACAGCAGAATGAAAGGAAATAAGAAAATGACAAGACCTATAAAACATCAAAGGTTGTAGAAATATAAAAGTTGTTGGAGGTGATTTAACATTGATTGGCTATTCGACGAGGGAGAGCGACCTGTGTTCTATCCACCTTGAGGATGATGGAGTGTTGAAAGGCGTTACCTTTAACGATTTCCTTCAATGTCCATAAGAGTTGGATATCGGAAGGTCTTCTTTTCCTCAATGCAGTGACAAGTAAAGCCGAGTAAGTAAGAACTTTAATAGATCGATACCCATTATCAAGAGCCCATCTTAAGGCATAAAGACAAGCCCAAAATTCAGTCAGCAAGGCCGAAGAGGCAATCCTAGAGCGACCCCCTACCTCCTTTTCAACCATATTTTGCAGCTCTATTGACCATCCAATCCCATAATGCTTACTTTGTTTGTGCCATGAGCCATCAACTCTGATAGTACTCAGAGGTAAAGAGTCGTTGAAAAGGGCATATTCCAAACGTCTTAAAGAAGCTTGAAGAAAGCTTGGAGGTGGAACACAGGACAAATCTGTAGCCGATACTGGGTCTTGAGGTCTAGTATCTGGTTTTGAGAAATCATGTAACACTAGAAAAGATTCTCTAATATGTCTAAAGTAACATCTTAGGTAACCATTTTCCTCTTGGAAGATGCGCTTGTTACTCGTTACCCATATATCCCATAAGGTAGCCACAAGGGCTTGAATGCGATGACTACGTATTCCATCCTGACTATAAAAGAGCAGAATATGACTTCGGATCCATTCCTGAAGAGAAATTGAACCGGTAAGTTTTTTGCAGTTCGGTATTTGGCAGTTATCCCAGGCATACCGAGCTGTCCTTTTCAATGAGAAATATAACAACAATAGTCACATAAGGTGTCAGTGAGAATGCCCCTCTTTCTATGGTTCGCTCTCACAGGAATACCATTGACAGCAAGTTTCCATAAAAAAATTCTCCATTTAGGGGAAACCTCCAGAAGCCATAGGATCCTCTAAAAATAAAAAAATTCTTTCCTATGGGAGGGTTCAACCCTATCACCATTTTTAGGAAGAAAAGCATAACCTGTTTTCATCGTATAAGTTCCTGCTTTATTCCAAGGCCATTATAGGAAATCATCCTCTTCCTCTGATGGGAGATCAATAGTCAAAATCTCCTGCTCACTATCCCAATCGAAACGTTCTCGAATGAGACCAGCATTCCAGGAACAAGGAGGGTTGATAAAGTCTTTAACTTTCCAAAATGTACTCTGTCTGAGATTCTGGTTTGACTTCACCACTATAATTTTATTGTTGATCCATGGGGAGCTAGAAGCTAAGACATCGTTCCCAGAGCCAATTTTCCAAGCAAAAGCTTTCCTCATTTTCATCGAGAGAGAACGCATAGTCTTCATCACCCAAGAGAGAGAAGTTGGAGGTGGCTTCCTTAAGTCAGTCTTCGGGCAAAAGATACAATTAGATTTCACATTATAAACCGTTTCAGCAAGGAGTTGAGGATTGGAATGCATTTTGAGGATATTTTTAAATAATAAGGCATCATTATAAGTTCCCGTAGCTCGAATACCCAAACCCCCCATGCCTTTAGGAAGTTGGACTTGTTGCCTGTTAATCCAATGGATACCCTTTTCTCCACTTTTAGCCCACCAAAACCTAGTGAAAAGGGAATCAAGCTTGTTGGTGATGGACATCGGTAGTTTACAAGACTTCATAACATGAGCCACCATACCCAAAAGCACAGAATTAATAAGGATGAGCTTGGCACTATCCGAGAGCTTGCAATGTGCACAAGTGAGAATTTTCTTTTTAACTCGCTCAACAAGGTCCACAAAGAGAGGGGCTTTCTTCCCAAAATGTCAATAGGAACCCCCAAATGGTTCCCCATATTCTCAATAATAGGAACACGAAGTATGGATTTGTACAAGTTGGCTTGCTCCAGAGACACTGAGGGGATGAACTTAACAAACGATTTTGCAAAATTAATTTGTTGACCAGAGGCCTTTCTAAATCTAGCCAGGATATCTGCAACTGTTTCACAAGACTCATCCGAACACTTAAAGAAAAACATAGCATCATCCGCAAAGAAAAGATGAGAGATTAAAGGGGCTCTTCTAGAGATTTTAATTCTACTTAGACAATTAATATCCCCCACAAGCAAAAGCATTCAGGATAAGATTAGATATCCATACAAAATAAAAATAGATATGGAGAGAGGGGGTTACCTTGTCGTAAACCACAGGTAGGAGTGAAAGAATCGGAATTCCTCCTGTTAACTAGAGCTTTGAAGGTAACTGTAGAGATGCACTGAGAGATCCATTGGATCCAAACTGAAGGAAAGCCATAAGCTTGAAGCACTTTAAGTAAGAAAGGCCAACTGATCCTATCGTAAGCCTTTGACATATCAAGTTTCATAGCTGCAAAATGGGAAATGTGACTCCTAGAGTTGATAAAGTGTAATAGTTCTTGAGACATAAAGGTGTTATCTTCCATATATCTCCCCGGGATGAAATCATGTTGAAAATCCGAGATCAAGTGAGGAAGGATCGGCTTTAGACGTGAAACAAGACATTTAGCGATACACTTGTAAATGGTGTTGCAGAGACTAATCGGTTGAAATTGGGAGGCCAGTTCCGGAGTATCCAATTTAGGAATCATAACTAGAAGAGTCGAATTTAATTCCTGAAGAAGAAAACCCGTGGAAAAAAGTGTTGAACACTCTTGGTCACTGTATAGCCAACTGTATCCCAATTTGACTGAAAAAATTCAAATATACAACCATCAGGCCCTGGAGAATTTGAACCTTTTAAGTCAAAAATAGCCTCACGGATTTCTGCATCCGAAAAAGGCAAGCTTAGAGTGTCACTTTGAGAGGGAGAGAGAGACGGGAAATGAATTTGCCTAAGAAGCAAATCGATGTGATCCTCTTGAGCAGGATCAATAACTGGATTGAACACATCCTTCAAGGAATTTACAATGAGATTAGACACATGAAAATGTCCCTCTACCCACAAATTATCTTCTCGTCGAAGAGTGATAATCTCATTCTTTGTTTTCCTTGATTTAACCTTATTGAAAAGGCGCTTAGACGGGATATCACCTTCCTTTATCCAATCACATTTCATTCGTTGTCGCCAATAATGGAATTCCAGTTTGCACTTTGGGATGAAAGAGTTGACAAGGTCAAGATAGGTGCGAGCATCATTAAGGGAGGAGACATTTTCCCCAAGAGCATGTAATTCAGTGGAAATCTCCCTCTAATTTATGCCCCATAATTTTTGATGATTAAGGCACCATTTATGAAGCAAACTCCTAATTTTCCGTAATTTTCGGACTAAGCAAAAGAGATAAGAGCCATAAACATTAGCCACCTTCCATTCCGTGTCAATGATGGATTTCACTTCCGGAAACCCCAAACACCAAAGTTCAAGTTGATACGGCCGAGTGGAAAGAATGACATTCGGATCCGTGTCATAGAGAATAGCCGCATGATCAGAAACCTGAATAGGTTCATGGACAATACGTCCATTAGGAAATTCCTCAAACCAGTCCGGGGTATCATAACCTCTATCCAATCTTTCCAAAATCAAATCCGACCCAAGTCTATTATTAGTCCCAGTAAACCTCGGACCTGAAAAAGGAACATCAATGACTTCATTACTGAATCTCCAATCAATAAAATCATCTACTCCTCTTATCGAAGTGTTTCCCCCCAATTTATCCTCTAAAAATTCTAATTGGTTAAAATCACCAAGCAAAAGACATTTAGGATAATTTTGGATAATAAAGGAAAGATCAAGCCAAACTAAATTCCTATCTTCAAGAGACGGGGCACCGTAAACAAAAGCTACATACTTGATTTCAGCATTAGGTTCGACAATTTTACAAAGGATGACATTTGAAGAGGAGAAAATACAAGTCACCATCGAGCTAGACCAAAAAAAACCATAAGACCTCCCCTAGTACCTATATCATCAACTCCAAAAGAGGTAGAAGGACAAAACAAATCAAGTAAAGGTCTAGCTACATCAACATCTACTTTAGTTTCCGATAAAAATAAAAACATAGGTTTCTTTGATGTAACAAGCCACACAAGATAAGGACGTGTAGGGGCGTGTGGATCGTTGAGACCCCTACAATTCCAAGAAATACACTTCATAAATCCGTCGGGTACTGAACCGATGCAGCAACCTCATCTTAAGAGTCCAAAAAGGGGCAAACTAATTGTTGATTAGTTTCCCAATCCATTCCCACAGTAGTATTGATTCTGTTGGAAGTAAAAGGACCAAGCCTCAATTTTTTCATAGCAGTAGAACCTGTCGAATCCAAGGAAGAAGAAGGAGAAGGCGATTTTCGTTTTTTTGCACGGTCTAAGATGTCATCATCAACATGTAAACCCCAATGACGTGCCATATCCTCATCGGTTATAGCCTTTGAGACAAAACTCCGGTTCCTAGTCACACCACCACGCCAAAAAGCAAAGGCCCCTTTCTTAGACCACCTGTTGAGAGTGGCAAGGCGGTTTATTTCACCCCATTTTAGATCTGTGAAGCTTCCCCGAATGTTATTTCCTCCATCAGATTGAATACCCTGTTCAGAATCAATAAGTTTCTCAGAGTCAGAGCTAATGATATGAATTTGCCTTGAATTAGGCCCAGGAGAATTAAATAATTCATCAAAATTGATTGGAGCCATCGGAGATGCCGACGACTTCGGAGGATCGAACTCAGTCAGAGGTAAGTTCGGTAATCCTCCACCAAACACCGACGGAGAATAAGGGAGAAAAGGAGGGTTCAAAGCCCTGGGATAGGGATGAACACGCGATCCAGAGAATCTCAGCGAACGGGCTAATTGGCGGCCTGCCTAAATAAAACAATCAGCAACATTAGTAATAGCATTATCATCAGAAGGAGAAATAGGAGCAACCGTAGGTTCCGACATCAGATTTAAGAGTTGAAAGAAGGGTTGAGGGAGGCTTGTTGGTGGCGGCGCCGCGATTGAGAGATCCGGCAGAGAAGCAGCCCCTGTCACACCTCTCCTTATGTAAAAGAGAGTAGGCCGAGAAGAGGATTCACCAACTTCAAAATTCGAAGTTTTAGGAGGGGAAATGGTGTAGTTACCCACCAATCCAGAAGCAGAGACAGTTGGTGGAGGGCCCCTGTGAGATAATTGAGCAAGCTCCATAGAAAATTGCTGAGAGTGACCCACTAAAGATGGAGAATCCCTTGTAGAGACATTCACAGCAGCAGAAGCACATTTCATAGAAGAATTAAGAGAAAGGTTAGGATTTACCACTCTAGCAAGTTCATTAGAGATGCAAGGAGAATCTTTCTCGCTAAGGCGAGCAAAAGGAAAGAATTGGGCATAAGGGTCTTTACCCAATCCCAGACGCGTCCCTGGAGGGCTAAACGCCCTTGAGATAGTGCCCCCACCGTGGTCAGAGGAGTCGGACAGGTTATCAGAACCTGTAAAATAGTCACCAGAGCCACCGCTGCCACCAGAGTTGTCACTAGAGTCCTTGGAGTCCGAGTTGGCATCTCCTCCGAGGTTTCGATCTTCCATTGGAATGTCCTCTGGTTCTTCAGGACGAACCAAGTTTACCTCAGGGTCTCTGTATTTGCCCTTTTTTGGAGGCCCTCGAATAAAATTCGAGTAATAATTGTGCTCTCGAGGTCCATAAATGACCCTCATGCCTTGTCGTTCTAGCGTTCCAACACGACTTTTCATCCTTCGAGTTGCAACAGCTCGATTAATACAACATTTCTTCTCTGAATGCCTTGCAAAACCACATTTTTTGCAAAAACGAAAAATCCCCTCATAGCGAAAGTGAACCCAGATTATCCGGTCACCTTCAAGGGGAATAAAACAACCAGGAATAAGCGGTTGAGAGAGGTCAACCACCATTTTCACATGTAAGTCAGCAGAAGGAGGTAAACCTTGACCATTAAATTCAAATTCTTGAATATGACTATTAGTTGAGACGATTAATACTAGAGGGGGAGTGAATTGTATCGAGTTCCTAATAGCTACTTTTGCGGAATAATAAAAAAATGCATATAGGAACTTGCAAGGACACACAGATTTTACGAGGAAACCTTCTAGTGCCCAACTGGAAGTAAAACCTCGACCACACCTTAGAGATTTCAAACATACACCTCTTCACTATAATAGGGAAAACACCAAGTTACAACCTATTAAACACAGAACTTTGTTCACAAGTTCCACACTTTCTACTCGATAGGACCCTATCCTACCCAATCTAAGTACCACACTTAGACTCACTCGTACTGCCAAAGTACAGAACTCTCAGCTTCACACTAGAAACTTACACAACCTGTATGCGATGTAAAAAGATAACAAACTCACCCAATAACCCAAACAATACAAATGTATGACACCTAGTATATGATAGGCAAGCTATGCACGAAATCCGAAACTAATATGACAAGTTAGAAGCTTGGTAAACTTACTCAATTAATGCTCAGTTATTTCTCCACGCATAAACTCACAAAACCTTAAACCATTTCGATCTCTACTATTTATACAAGTAGAACTTGTATAGCAAGTAGGTTTTCTAAAAGATAAATAAGTTAACTTAACTTATCTTTAAAAGACGGTTTTATGAAAATCATATTTGAAGAAAATCTTTTCCGGAATATAAGATAGAAAGATATTGTTAAAAAGAATCATATCTTTTAACAAACCTATTTTAAGAAATAAAACTTTTAGAAAATCTTTTCAAAAATCTATCTTTTATATTTTCCTTAATAATTTATTTACCAAGCAAAATTTCCACGCTTCTAACAAATCTCGTGCATTAACCTTCTTAACATATTAACAATAATCTAGAAGATAAAAACCTTTGCTATATTAAATTGCTGCGCCGCGCCTCTGTACAGGTAGGTTACTTGGACTCCACGTAGACTAAGTTCCTTCAGGGACCTTAGCTTGGTGACTTCAAGTTCTTGTTAGGGAACTCAGTTCTTGTTAGAGAACTTAGTTCTTGTTAGAGAACTCTTCTTCTTTTCTGTTTAACTTTTTGTATAAAGATCTCTTCATATCTTCTTAGTTCCAGTTACTTCTTCCATCACCACGATCAACTTCACCTAAACTAATCAAACACTTGAAAACCTTTATTAGATGAGTTTGCTTTAGTTTAAGTTTATCATCATCAAAACCTTTAAACTTCAACAATGACCAACATGAGATAAAATCTGAGTAGCCCATTCACGAGTGAGATAAAGAAAGGGAAGACCATGAATTCTTACCCAGATAGAAGAAGAATCAAAATTAATTAATTGAGGACTAAAGGAGCGATGGTACCTTCGGAGATTGATAATTCGCCCATTAAAAATTGCAGATTGAAGACGAATTATCCTTGTAAGATCCGAAGCATTGTAGCATTCAAAGAGGTAGAAATTCCCTGACTTATGCACCTTGATATAGCTCCTCCTCCTCCATCATTGATTCACAATATGCTGAATATATGACACTGAAGGAGGATAAGGCCCAATAAAAGATCCAATAGTAGATTGGTTGTAATTGATTGGACCCGTACAACTAAAATTTTCAGGGGGGGATGGTAAAACACCCATTCGAAGACAATCATCTGAGTTTGAGTCACCTCGGTGATTAGGATGATGGTAAGGAGGGATACTAGTCATAATTGAGAGAATAGAGAAGAAGAGAAAGGGAGATGAAGAGTTTGATGAAGAACAACAAGAACAGAGGTCCCTATTTATAATAATCTGAAGGGGTTTAAGATAGAATTGCATGCAAGCCAAGTGGCAAAAATGAAGTTTGAATGGGTTAACTTGTAGGAATTAATACAATGATTAAGGGGATTTGCTGACAGAAGAATGAGAATAGAAGAGTGAAGACACAGATCAATCACAAATGGTTGTTCAAAAAAACAAGGAGAAGCTGAAGAGATTTGCAATTCAGAGTTCTGACAGAAGAGAAGAACAAGCAGGCTATTGGTTGCATGCAGCAGAACAAAACAAGTTTGAATTCAATATTGAATTGAAGAACGAGAAACCCACCTTCTAGTGAGAGAAGCTCTCAGTTAGAGAGAGAATGAGTTATATCTCATATTCCAAATATAAATTGTAGGTGTAAAATAAAAAAGGAAACTAGATATGCAATTTGGGAAAAAAAATTAAACATCAATTAACCTATACTAAAAGCAAACTTAAAATGACACTTGTCATGATGTCATTAACAATTTTCCCGCTTTTTTTTCTTTCCTGTTTTTTTTTTATTTTTTTTTTTGCCAAACGTTAATGACTTCCATTTTATAACCAACCATAATACTTATTTCTATTTTGATAACATAATTAATCTAATCATACTCAATTAATTATTTTTTTTTTTACATATTTTATATATACTAGGTGTCTTTTAGTTACAAATAACTAACATATATATTAAAAAAAAGGAATTAAAATTTGTCATATCTAAGATTATTATAATATTATCAATTTTTTCCTCCAACTTTTATTATTTTACAATATAATTTATTTTAATTAAAAACAGAAAAATCAGTTTTGGTAGCAAACTTTGTATAAATCTTATAATTATACATAATGTTTATAAGAACAACTAAACAAAATCATTTTATTATATTATACTCCCTCCGTTTTTTATAAGCTAGAGTTGAATTTGCACATTTATCGATACACAACTTTGACCATCAATATCTTTAATTAGATATTAAAAAATTATAATTTTTTTTAATAAAAGAAGACATTATGACAAATCCAACTATATGATCATATTTATATACTGTATATTGGTAAAAAAAGTCAACGATGACATGAATATATAGTGTTAAATTCCAACTCTTGATTAAAATATAAAAAAAGAGAGAGAGGAAAAGTGAGTACATAACATACATTGAAAAATTAAATATAATTACGTACTCTATGCATTTATGCAATGCGATGATTAAAATTAAAATAAAACCCCCTACTACTCACTAAATATATATTTTAAAAAAGTTGATTACGGAATACTAATTATTCTAAAGTAATATAAAATCAACTAAATTTTATATTATGCCAGTCAAAATGTGTCAACAAAATAAAAACAAATGTATATGAATTTGTACACGGGCAATAACCTAAGCTAATATTTTCATTTTCTTATATAACACTTATACTCCCTCCGTTTTTAAATACTTGCTCCACTTTCCTTTTCAGGCCGTTTTTAAATACTTGCTCCATTTCCTTTTTTAGAAACTTTTAACAATATTAAATTCAATTTTCATACTTAGTGGACCCAACATAGTACTCTCTCTTCTCCTATTCTTCCACTCCTTTTGCTTTTTACATTTTTTATTTTCTCAACTACCCCATTACCTCCATATTTTATTACTTTCTCTAATTCCTCCTAAAACTCCGTGCATGGAGAAATGGAGCAAATATTTAAAAACGGAGGGAGTAGTTTCTAAAATTCTATTTCTACTCCCTCCGTTACATATTACTCGTAACAAAGGGGTATTATTTATGACGACAAATAATATCCCTTTGTTGCGAGTAATATCTAACGGAGGGGGTATATTATTTTTATGAAATTCAATTCAATAACTTTTACGCACACATTTGGTATTTGTATATATTAAAATTCAAGTTATTTTGTTACAAATATGTTTTTTGGATAAATTGTTGTTGAATTAACAACATTCTTTATAATTTTTGTTGTAAAGTTTAATTATGGTCGTGCATGATACGGGACTTAACATAGTTTCACAAATAACGGAGAATTAAAAGTTATCTTCCTATACTTTTATTAATTAATACAGTAGCATTTTTTTAACAATGTTAATACTTAACATTATGTTTAACATTTGTGCACAAGTGCGCAACATACTCAACAACCTATGCTGTATTAATTTATGAATCATAATACCTACTCCCTCCTTTTTTAAATACTTGCTCCATTTCTCCATACGAGGAGTTTTAGGAGAAATTGGAGAAAGTAATAAAATATGGAGGTAGTGGAGTAGTTGAGAAAATAAAAAATTGTACAAACAAAAGTAATGGAAGAATAGAAGGATAAAGAGTATTATATTGGGTCCACCAAGTGTGAGAAATGAATTAAATATTGTAAAAACTTTCTAAAAAAGGAAATGGAGCAAGTATTTAAAAACGGCAGAAAAAGGAAAGTGGAGCAAGTATTTAAAAACGGAGGGAGTATTTGACAAAATGAATAAAATGATGATAAAAAAAAATTTCTTAAAGAAAAAAATTAATCAAAGCGGTAACCCGGTATAACGCCCGGACCACACACTAATTATCGATAAAATTCATGATTTTGCTTTAGCTTGTTCACCAACAATTCATGAACATATTTGTTCTCCTACTCACTACCTTTAATTTCCTTCCTAGATTCCCTCTCACTTTTCTTTTGCAAAAGCTATTAGAACATGTCAAATAAAGTTAAAACTCACGGCTTGTTCATATTTACTAAAGTGAGCTGAATTGAACTGATTGAAGCTGAATTAAACTGAAATGAACAGAATAGAGCTGAAATGAATATTTTTTGAGAGAAGGAAATTAGAAGCTGAATTAAACTAAACTGGTTGAAGCTGAATTGAAATTAAGGTGAAGTGAAAAGACCCTCAATGAGTTTCAAAAGCAACACTGTTCTATTGACTATTGTACGCAAAATATTCTAACACATCATTTTACACATATATGATCATTTTTTGATTCGTATAATAATTCCACAATGCACCAATAGTTTGGGTGGGAAATACATCAATCAATAATTTTAATGATTGGCATCGAAATTAAATGTTGGTTCAATTAATCAACGCAATCAAAGTTTCTAATAAACTAATACTAGTGCAAGAATATACAATTGAGGGGGTTAAACTCTCTAATTAAAAACCTTAAATTTGGAGGCTCAAAGGCCTCCACCACAACCATATAGACAAGAAAACATGATTTACATTTGTATTTGCTGTCATGCTTAAGTTCTCTTTCATTTTCTTTAGTAACTGTATATTTTATTAATCATCATCAACTTGCTGATTTCAAGGGATGTCAGATGTAGCTGAATCTTCTCGTGCTTCTTCTTTGTTGTCTATAAGGTGTTTTGTCAATTGATCATCTTCTGTTTCTTGGTTTACCTTGTTGTATTCATTTGATTTACCCCATAATACCATGTAAAGGCCTATTGTTATGATTATTGCTCCTAATATCCTGCATTAGATAAAAATAATACAGTAGAATTTATTAAACATACGACGAGAAGGAAACAAGCATGGGGTATGAGCGTATGACTCAAGTAACAAAGACATATGATGGGTCGATATCGCTATTTAGATCGTGGATTAAAGTGTATAATGCTCATTGTGCACGAAAACATAATATAATTGTGTAAAAGAACCTGAAGTATGTTTAATATATTCAGGGGCGGAGCCATGTAGGAACAAGGGGGGACGGTTGTCCCCCCATTTTTCCAAAAAAAAATTTAATTTATGTTAGCTTAAATAAATGCTGTAAATAAGAATAAATACCTTACATGTATACCTTATATAACAAAGACAACATTTGGTCTGGTGGTTGATGGGCTTGAGTAAAGCTTGTATTTCTCTTTGATCCTAGGTTCGATTCTTTACCCGATCATTTTTTTTGTTTCTTTTTGCTATTTTTGGACTTTATTTTTATTTCATTTTATAGTTTATACAAAGTGCTCCTATTTAACTTCTTTTTCTTGTTTTTGGATTTTGCCATTTTTTTTTACTGGTTTTTAAATTTCATTATATAGTATGTAATTTATATATACAAAGTATTATAAGTCTTCAAACCTCTAATTACTCTCATTTAACTGTTTAATCAAGTATCGCCTTGTTGATAGTGATTACTAATGTGTTATTAAACTATTTGTAATGAACACATGTCTCCGTATTTTTTTTATCTCTCTAATTATGTGTGCCTAAATTCTATTTTTTTTATAGCTTGTTTGGAACTAAGTTTCCAATTTTATTTTTAGTCAAAGAAAGTTTATTTATTTATTATTATTTTTTTTTTTAAAATGTAACCCAAATCCCTTTACATCTACTATCAATTTGTGTAAATGCTTATCATTTGATAAATCATATTTATCGATTATTAAGGATTACATACCTTAAAATTGGGGTTTACCAGCATAAAAAAAAAAATTTTGGTTAATAAATTTCTTAATATGCAATTAATTTTTTAACAACTCCTCTTTCACCATATAAGAATAATTGTCATATCTCATAAGCGATTTCAAATATATATTAAACAATTTATGTGATCAATTTCTTTTTTCTTATAATTATTGTCGATTATTAAACATCTAAAAATTGTCCCCCCGGATTACAAATCCTGGCTCCGCCACTGAATATATTTGTAGATATTGATAGAGTATAAAACATATTTCTGGGGCTCAACCATCAGTTTAAGCTTTTGGTTGAGGCCCAGAAATATGTTTTATACTCTATCATATTCCTAATAAATAGAAAAATATTTTTCATATTCTTTCGACATTGTAAAATGTTGTTTTACATATGCACCTATATTTTTTGGTGCACAATGCTCATTGTGCATTCTTGTGCATAGTTAAAAACTTATTATAACATACAATTTTTTTTTGAAAAGTTTATTTATACTCCTATTTTCTAAAGTGTCATATAATTAAATTTATGACCGCAATTTCTAAGGTTACTTAGATTAAAAGATGAAAAATTTTATGGGGAGTTGACCAAAATTACAAAACTACTCTATCAAAGGAAAATTTACACTTCAAAAAAAGGAGTGAAAAGAAAATTTGCAAAATTGAGTTTATATAATTTGTTATGAGTGGTCGGAAAAATCTGAAAATAATATTGAAATAATCAAGCATAAGTGCATAACACATTATTCTTAAAAGAATGACTTACCCTCCAGAGTAGAGTTGATCACCAAGAAAGAGAGCAGCCATAATAGCAACTAATATTGTTTGTACAGGTTGGAATACAGCTACACATACAGGGCCTCCTTTATGAATGCACCATGTCTGTAGGGAAATCACCACGCCAGATGCAATGATCCCCTGCACATTTTATTTGATAATACATGTAAGAATCAGGTGAGCTTATTTTTGTACAAATAAAACTAGGCAAGAATTACTTACCGCATACAGAATGGTTAAAACCTCCTCTCCTGATGCAATTTTCCAGTGCTCGATATCCGTCTCTGCGAAGGCTGCAATAGCCAGGAATTGTACTAATCCGAAGAAGCATGTGTATGATGTAAGGGATAATTTTGCAGGGTACTTCTTCATCACTGATGCCTGAAAAATAAATTCATTTTGATCAGTTATATTTCTAATTTTCTGTTCTGGTTGCAACCACTTTAACAAATTCTGTAACATTTTCTGGTTGTATACAAGACCTACTGATTTTTCTATATTGGGGTTAGAACTGATAATATAATTCAGAACACAAAAATATGCAACTATGAACTGTCAACTGATGGGCGAGAAAATGATAGAAATTCATGTTTGTGAATTCAATTTAAATAGTATCACCACCAAAACTTTACCAGCTAACCTGATAAACCATCCAACCAGCCCATGAGAAGCAATGTCCGAGAAGGAAAATGCAGCCCCAAGTAAAGTTCTGCGTCGTAATAGGAGATACTACTGCCATATCTCCATTTTCCGCCAAAAGATTAATCCCTTGAGATTGCTCAGCAAGGTGCAGCAAAGGAAAGCCTTTGTACAAAGTTATGATGGTTGCTCCACCAACACTTGCAATCGTTCCCACAACTTTTGCTAATCCGTGTCTCCTGAATATGTTCACTTCTTCTAGTCTACAAAATTATACACATTATAAGAAATACAATCAATTTCTGAAGTAGACTCACGATACCAAGAGACCAAATAAAACATAGTATTGTCAAAGTGTGTATGATGACTGAAACTTTAACTGGTTTTGTGTAAGACTTGTCTTTTAACTCATGATCAAGAGGTCAATAACGAGTGTTGTTAAGTACTTCCATAAAATTCCAATGACAATCGCCTTAAAAGCTTACTAAAAATACGTAAAACAGTCCTCATTAACTGTTTTTATTGAGGGCATATAATTTGAAGCCAAGAAGAACTGCTGTAAGGCCAGTTAATTACCTTAAAAAATTGGCCAAAACAAACGTAATTGCAGGAACAGAATTTTGCATTGCTGATGCGAAAGTAGGAGATGCATAATACAAACCCAAAATATAGAATCCTTGATTTGCAGTGACCCTATTAAACAAAAAGTAACAACGTAAGACTTTCTTTAGACATCTCTGAAAAATAACAGGGATAGAAATTTAAGTGGTACCAGTTCTTACAACATACCCCAGAAGTGCTAGAAAGAAAAATTGCACCAGCAAGGAGAAAGTTAAAGGCGGTCTCTCTTTCCTGCAATACATATGAGGGAAGTGCACGATTCATAACCAATATCCAACACATATTTGTAACGTACATGATTACATGTGTCTATTATACGTACGAGTCAACATAATACAAGTAAGGGACAACAAGAAGCAACACGAATATTTACCTCTCAAGAAAATAGGCAATAGGACCTAATAAGAGCAAAGCAATGATGTTCCTATAAACTGGATATACAACTTTACTAACACCAATGTTCAAAGCAACTCTAGAGACTATGTGATACCCTGCAAAACATAATTGAAGTGCAAGTAATCCCATTAACAACTTCATTTTCTCTGAACATGTACTCAAATTTGCCATTTTTTTTTTGCTAAATTAGCAGCTATATTCTTTCACTTTGTGCTTGAAGCTTATGTTATATTGATCAAGTTACTTATAGAATATTAATGGACCAACTTCTCAATCCGAAAAAAAAAGTATATAATATACATAAATATATAAATAACTTAATAATGAAAAACTAAAATAAAAAATCCCAAATTGACATCATAACATAGCCATCATGCAATGCATACAATATAATTAACTGCAAATTTAGAATATTTTCATGTGCATACTATCTTATGAATTACAACTTACAAATTGATTGGAAGTAAAATATTTTAATAGTTTTTTTTAAAAAGAAGTAAAATAATTTAATAAATAAAAAGTTGTTTTTGTTGATTTGATTTGGCAGTTAATTAGGTTCCTCAAATTCATAGCATGGAATTATTCTCAACTGATTGCATAACAAATTGTCTAAAACATTGAATCTATATTAGGAGACAAAGTTGAACCATGGCATGTTGTACAGGTAGGTCAATTACCAATCATTGTTCAATGTGTAAGGCCCAAATTGATTTCTCCATTACGTACCAACAACAAATTTATGAGTGAGATTTGTACAGTTGACTTCATAAATTATCATAACTTATTGTTATTGATTGTATTTTCGACAATAATTTTTTTAACAAGGTTGTTTATCTGTTTTTCTTTTCTTGAAAATACAACTAATGATATAATTAGCATGTCTTGAATGATATCATATCAGTTTCATCAAGTAATATACTGAAATCCAATGTTGTCCACATATGAGTTGTTCTACATGGGAGAAAATCAGCAACATATTATTAACAAATTTGCAATCTTCAAGAGCTACTTTATTCATTGTAAATTGATTTTGAAATGAAATCTCTTTTATGCTTGTAGGTGGTCTAAACTCTCTTTCTAGGATCACCAAAACCCTTTTTTATTTTTATTTTTTAATTTTTAAAATTTTATTTTTGAGAAAAAATTAGGAGTACCATTAATCAAGATTTGCACAAATTGTCCATTAATACATATGGTGCAACATCGGGAGGACAATGATTTTCCCATATTTGCTCAGTTCCAAACGGTACTACCCTAACAAGGTGATGGGCGACAGAAGTCCCATCCCTACAAACATGTAACCAAGAAACAAAGCTAAAATTCTTACACACAGACATAACATCATCAAGGACAATATCAAGATCCAAAAAATAAACCACAGATTTTGAGAGACGGTTTATAAAAATTTGACTGTCCGATTCTATCACCAGATTCTTCACTCCAAACCTTCTGAGGCCAAAAAGAATAGCCTTGCACTCAGCAATTTCAGTAGGCCATCTACCTCTTGTTCTGCGAGACCCAGCAAACAAAACCGACCCATGCTCATCTCTCGCTACAACCCCTTATCCGACCCACCCTTCATCGCGCGAGCATGCATCGCAATTTATTTTAATAAAATCAGAGGGTGGGGGGCTCCAGATTTTCGGGCTGCTTTTCTTCTTCACACGGGCTCCACCATAAATCTATGCTAGGTGCTTGTTACAGTCTTCAACTGTCCTTTGTACTCTCTCCTTGATCAGTAAATGAGGAACTTCTTTAGCATTAAAAACCTTGTCATTGCGCCTACTCCAAATGTACCACAACAGAGCAGTCCCCCTCAAACATCTTTTGGAATCAACTTTCTGCCAACGAACCAGCATATCTGAGAAGCTCTCACTTTGGCTATTAGGCACCAGAACCTCGCAATCAAGCTCTCTCCATAGATCTTCCACTGTTGGGAAGTAAAAGAAAGCATGCTTCATGGTCTCACATTGTAATGGACACCAGGGGCACGCATTTGAGTCATGCATGTGCCTGTAATGCAATAGCTCACGGGTAGGGAGGGAATTTGTGCAAGCTCGCCACAGAAATTGTTTGATCTTTGGGATGGTATCAAGGCTCTAGATAGTACCCCAAGCTTCGTGAATATTTTTGAGATTACAAGTCTTTCCCAGGAGGTAAGCAGTCTTGACGGAGTAAAGTCCATCATTAGAGAAAGCCCATGTCAGTTGGTCTATCGGCTCTCAAACGCTGATCAGAATCTGTATAATGCAAGATACATCAAGAGCATCAAAGTTTGCAGTGACTTTCACATTATCCCATTCTCTACTCCCTTCATCAATCAGGTCACATACCTTGGATAACCCCTCCACCCTAGGTGAAGTAATGTACCGTCCCTGCTCATCCGCAACCCAGGGAGAATAAAAAATATCAATTGATTTCCCATCTCCCACTCTCCATATTAACCCCTCCTTTACAAGTGCCTTTGCACTCCAAATACTTCACCATGAGTAGCTTCCATTCAATCCCAGAGATGCATCCAAAAACTCACTATGAGGATAGTATTTACCTTTCATAACTCGGCCAACAAGAGAGTTAGGAGTAGAGATGAGACGCCATGCTTGTTTACTAAGAAGAGCGTCATTGAAGACTGCCATGTCACAGAAACCAAGCCCTCAGAGACACTTTGGTTGGCAGATGCGTTCCCAACTAAGCCAATGTACTTTGCGCTGCTGGTCCGTGTGTCCTCACAAGAATTTTGCAACCATGGATCTGATGTCGTTAGTCACACTAATAGGAATTTTGTAAACTCCCATAAGGTAAGTGGGAATAGCCTGGATAACGGACTTTACTAGCACCTCCTTTGCAACCCTCAACATAAGCTTCTCTTTCCACCCATTTAATTTCTTCCAAATTATTTCCTTCAACGCGGCAAAAATCATCCTTTTCGGTCTCCCCAAAATAGTCGGAACTCCCAAGTACTTTTCATGCTCATCTACTCTTCTCATCCCCAAAATCTGCATTAATTCTTCCTGTTTCGAATCACACACCCCTTTACTGAAAGATACCTTCGATTCTTCATAACTAATTTTCTGCCCGAAAGCTGCTTCGTATATGTTGAGAATATCAACTATCTGTGAGCATTCCACTCAGTTGGCTCTAGCAAAAAGCAGGCTGTCATCTGTAAAAAAGAGGTGAGAGATTTTTGGCCAATTCCTACTAGCAACCGCACCATGGATAAGGCGATGATCAGAAGCCTTTTTTATTAGTGCCGAAAAAGCATTTGCAATAATAATAAAAAGGTATGGAGAGAGCGAGTCCCCCTGCCGAAGACCCCTAAAAGGAATCACTTAGCTAAAAGGAATCACTTTGCCACAAACATTCCTATTAATGATGAAAGAGTAAGAGAATGAAGAGACACAGCTCATGACAACCTCCACCCAGGACCCTACAAAACCCATCTTCAAGAGTAGTTGTTCCAGGAAAAACCACTCAACTCTGTCAGACGCCTTGCTCATATCAAGCTTCATAGCTATAGTTCCCTTGTGACTCGTACTTCTCTTCTTCATAGTATGAAAAAGTTCCATAGCAATGAAGGCATTATCTATGATTAGCCTCCCGAGGGAACAAAGGCACTCTTGATTTTTCGAGATGACATTCGGCAAAATTTCTTTTAACTGCATAACAAGCACCTTCGAAGCAATTTTGTACAGCACATTACACAAAGAAATCGGCCTAAATTATGTCATGGAGTTAGGGGAGTTAACCATTGGAATGAGAGCAATATTCATATTGTTCACCGATTCTAGAGAGTCGTTGCCTTCAAGAATTTTCTTTACCCGACTAAAAACATCACCAATAATGTGCCAAAACTATTGGTAAAAGAATGCATGTAACCCATCGGGCCCCGGGGCCTTACATGGGTGCATAACACATAGGGCTGCAAAAGTCTCCTCTTTTGTGTACCGCTTGAGGAGCAATTCATTATCTGCCGAGGTAATCACAGGGGAGACAACATCCAAGACTCGTTCACAATCACCCATGGGTGGAGCCAAGGATGTGAACAAAGAGGTGTAAGAATTTTCAACAATGCTTTCTATCTTTTCTTCCTCTGTGCACCATTCTCCATTTTCATCAAAAAGGCCATTAATTGCATTTCGTTTCCTTTGTTGAGAAGCCTTGTGGTGGAAATACTTTGTGTTTCGGTCCCCATCCTTGATCTCAGAAGCTCTTGATATAAGGTACCAATAAGCTTCTTGTTTTTCAAAAAGATTATCAAGCTTTTTCTCCAATTCCGACCCGAGCTTGATATTCGCAGTTGACAAACCCCAGCTTTGCATTTCTTTTAATTGCTTCTCTACAGCATCAATCTTCTTGTTAAGGTCTGAGAATTTTGTGTCACTCTAGTGTTTAAGAGATGCTAAAGTCAGCTCAAGTTGAGCCTCTATTGGCATCCACGCATTGCCACTCCAAGCTTCGTTAATAACCTTCTCACACGAGGGTTCTAGCAGCCATGTTGTCTCAAAACGGGGGCTCTTCTTATTTTCTTTCACTCGTGGTAACCTCACAAGAATCGGGCAGTGGTCTGATTTATATCGAACAAGATTCTCAACACTAGCATCTGGAAATCTGTAACGCCAAGCATCATTACTGCAGTAACGATCAAGTCGCTAATGATGGTCTTCTCATAAAGACCTCTTTCCCAAGTGAAAATCTATCCAAGGCAACCAAGATCGTGCAAGTTTGAGTCTTGGAGAGCTTCCTTAAAACCATCAATTTCTCTCCTTACATTATCCACTCCACCATCCTTCTCATTATGGCTTCAAAACTCGTTAAAATCACCACCTATAGTATATGCCTTCTCTTGAATCTTTCGAATGCTCTAACAATCAATCTAATGAAGATGATAACATTAATAAATTGGTTGAATTAATGAATGAACGAGAACAAAAGAACCCTATTGTTGAAGAAATTGAAATAGTTATGTAGGCGTCATTCGAAGTGCGCCTACGTTAAAGCATGTTGTGAATATGCTTGGCAATCTTAGCAAGTGGGAATTGACATAATACGATTAGGGACAAGGAAAGTAGGGAGCCGCCAACAAGTTTTTTTAAGGAACTTGTAAACCGTTCACGGATCATAAAAGGCAACCACGATAAAGGGACAACGATAGGCAACAATGATTGACTCGTGAAGGTTACACCCCATTCATAATCCAAGAGATTACTAACTCCATATGGTTTGGAACCATGAAAGAAGGATCAGGGATGATAGTACGAAGTAGGTCATGGAGTCACATTCGCCCGTATTGGCCTCTACTC